AAAACAACAGTCACGACCCTACAATAACACAAAGAAAACCACAACAATCATATGACCCCCTATGAGCAAGTGTTTTGGAGAATGTAGGAAGGAAAAACTCCCTTTTAACAGGAAGAAACCTCCAGCAGAGCCAGGCTCAGGGAGGGGCAGCTATGGGTTTTATCAAAAGGTTTTATGCATAAATCCTAAGAGTAGAGAGGATAATGAAAGCACAGAGCTGGATAAAAACGTAACAGGCCACTCTTAAATACTAAAAATAATTAACGAACCTTAGCCTCTCTTGACATTACCTGTTCAGGTGTTGCCATAAAGTTGATGGCAGTGTAGTAGCGGTCATCTTCCTGAAGCAGACTGAAGGTAAACTGGTAATCGATCAACAGGTTATCTGATCAACAGAAAGACAAACAGAGGCACAAAACACAAATGAGAAGTCTTGTGAACAAGCCGATCTTTTAGCAGTGGAACATTTTTAGGTATTTAGCTCCCTCTGATTTCAATAGTTTTCTCTTCAAGAACGGCTCCATCCTGCCTGATGTTATTGACGTCACCATCAAACACAGATTTATGAAAGTAAAAACACCAGAGGCACTGACGGTGAGTCGATATTCAATTAGATGAATAAGATTACAGTAGTGGAGTTTCAGTCAAAGATCTCAATCAGTCACAAAATAAACAAGGTGCGCATATTTGAGTAAAAGCGCAGCCACACATGTATTTTATAAAGCCGAACACGGCTGCTTTCATTGTGGATGCCGGTCTTTTCTATAAGCAAACAGGCCAATCGATCAGTGCAACATGGTTTAGAGTTTAAATAATCATGTTGTCTCAGTGATTTAATAATTTCTGAAAGGAGCTCTTATTGAGCGTCTCAAGGCAGCTCTTTGTCAGCGAGACAATGAGCAACGTATGGAGAGAATCGCAGTGATTCAACATCTGGATGGACAGCAGGAGCGACGCTGGGTCACCTTGTCTGCCAGTCGGAAGGGGGGGTAGAAGAACGGGAGGAAGGAAACACGAGAGAGAAAACACAGAAAGAGGAGAGAAAGCAGCTGTGCGGCCATGAGAAGATAACTGTTTGAGAGGATAATTTTTTAGTTAATCAGTGTAACTGCTGCCTGCTAACCCTTCAGGGGAATTCAGGTGTGTGTGTTTGTGTGTGCACGCACGCACATATTCAAGGGAAAATAAGGTTATAGCAGACTCGGGCACAACTTTTATTTTTAGGTCAAAGAAAAAGTTCGTAGTTTTTCCTCTTTTTCTTCATAGTTTTTAACAATCTGCCGGAGCAGTTGTGTATTGAATTTCAGCACCAGATCTGTCAGATTAATTATCTGACAGATCCCCAGTAGGGAGACTGACATAATACATAAAACACTTTTTTTACCCAAACTCCATGCAAACCACAACACAAAACATCAAAGTCTTAAAATTGAACCAATGTAACTAAAAAAAACTCATGATGTAACCAAATAATTGTTTTATTTTCCTCCATGTAGTTAAATGTGTAACAATAACAAAGAAACATTTAGTTTTTTCCAGTAGCCAGTGAGACAGGAAAATAATATATGTGAGCTAGTGGTTTTCTTATTAATGATCTTTGGGCAAGACTTCAATCCCACTCTTTCTTACCCTTTACTGATTTAATTAGTTGAACTTGGAATAACCACACAAACCACGAGCTGCAGTTACAAAGCTCCATGATACAAAGCATAAAAAAGCTCCTTCGGGGGAGTTCCCTTGGATAATGCATCTACTTCCAGTGATGCTGTTATTTGAGTTTCATTCTGACCGCTGTGTGCAGGATCTCCTCCACTGTCATGAAGGCAAACCACTCAACGTCAATATGTCTGTGAAGGTTCTCAGTCAAGGAGTTTGGAAAGAAAAGCGTCTGGACTTCTTTAAGAAATGAAGAAGCTTTTCGGATGAGAGGTGAAACATCTTCAAGGAAACTTATAGAAGTCCAGACACTTTTCCTCAGACCATTCAACTTGAATTTGGACAAAGTCACAGGGAGACAAATCTGGCTAATAAGGCAGGTGTCTGTTGACTTTTCAATGTACTGTATGCCTGCACCCAATGGCACAAACCCCACACTTCTGGTGGTTTCTACCAAACGTTCTCTGTCACATGCCTCAGGTCTTTCGAGGAGAACACCATGCTGACAGCTGACATAAAAGTCGGGTCAGTTTGACACAGATGTCAACAATGGCTTCGGTCAGACTGGAACCTGCACAGAGTAAAGAATAGTGACCATGCTGAAAGCAGACAACGTGGAAGAGAAGATTGAAAATAAACTTAAAAACAGCTAAAAGTTTTGATTTTTACGGGCAGTGGTAGAATTTAAATCGATACAATATTTCTGCTCTTTCACAATTTCATATTCGATCTTACCATGTGCCAAAAAGTGGAGGAAGTGAAATTGTTTTTACTGAGAGATATTTTGTTACATTAGCAGTTTAAGCATTTTATATAATTTATACATTTAAAACTGTAATCTTTTTTCTTTATTATTGTTCATGCCTGCAAAACTTAACATTAGATAGTTTAGTAAAAAAAAAA